GGCATTTGAGGAAGTATCCAAAGGCCAGCCCAGGGAGCTGGACTGTGGAATACATGGAGAGAGAGGAAGGTGTAAGAAGGCTGGAAAGACAGGAAGGGGCGGCACAATGAAGTGCTTTAGATGTCAAACAGAGCACTTTACACATAACATCCCAAAAGTTTTAAGCTTTGGAAGCTTGGAGGGAGGTGAAACTCCCGGGATAAGGCATGGTCAGACCTACACATTAGAAAATCACTTTGGCATCTGAGTGCAGGATGGATTGACGTGGGGAGAGACTGATGCAGGGAGATGAGCCAGTAGGGGAGAGAGGAGGAGGGGCTGAATTAGGGTGGTGGCCTGTGGGAGTGGAGAGAAAGGCATAGATACAGGAGATGTCATGAAGGCGAGAACACCAAGGCTTGGCAGTGGATTGGATATGACAGCAAATGAGAGTGAGGACTGAGGCTGACACAGGTTCTAAGCCTGGAGGAAATAACAGGAGACTGGTGGGTCATGGGCTTCTGCTGATGACTGTCATCATCAAAGCCCTCCTGGATTTGTCTATTGAACAAACACTTTTCATCCCTGCCAAACAGTAAGAGCTAACATTTCTAGCAAGCATTTATATAGTCCTTTATGGTTTGGAAAGCACTTTACAAATATCATCTCATTTGATCCTGACAACAAATCTTCCCTATTTTATAAATGAGGAAACTGAGGCAAACAAGTGACTTGCCCAAGGTTACACAGTAAGTGTCTGAGGGGGCATTAGCTGGCACAGCAGATACAGCACCAGCCCCGGAACCAAGAGGACCTGGCCTCAGACACTTACTAGCTGTGTGACCCTAAGCAAGTCCCTCAACCTCCCCAAAACAAGTATCTGAGGCTGCATTTGACCTGTGGTCTTCCTGACTCCAGGCTGGCTCTCTATCCACTGCACTACCCAGCTGTCTCTATTCACTTAGTGCTTTAAGGTCAAACACTCTTATTTGACTCTCAACAAGATTTCCAGTTCCAGCAATGGATTCCCCAAAGCCTCTTCCACTTCCCAGCCTTGCAGCAGGCAGTTTTAATAACCTGACAAGACTGTCTCCTCACTCCTCCCTCTTCCCCAACTAGTCCAGGAAGTCTTGCATTATTAATTCTATCTGGCCCTGAGCAACCTGTCACCTTAGCAATGACGTTTACAAATGCTTAGCATTTGTGTATATACACATGTAGATATAAGCATAAACACATATTTCAAATCTTCACTTACACATGTCCCAATGCCCCCATTATCCTTGACAGTGGGATATTAGGGGCTATGTCTCCCCAGTGCTCAGTAGAGGGTTCTACTTTAGGACACCAGATCCAGGGTACTAAGGAAGACTGAGGTGACCTGCATAATCTGACTAGAATGTTCCCTATGGTTCTCCCTTGGTGCCCATTCCCAGGTGATGATAACACCAACTCCATCTCCCCTCAGCCAGTCTGGCCTCTCACCAAGTAGTGGTAGGACAGGCATGCTCTTCAAGACCCGAAACATCTCCTTGGCCTTGGGTTCTGGGCTCACCAGCAACATGTTATGCCCAATGAAGAGAGGTAGCAGGTTTTGGTACTTGGATTCCGCCAGGAATGGCTTCAGGATCTGGGAGGAGGGAGAGGAGAATTGGCAGCCAGAAACAGCACACACCCCACCCCCGGCATTCAATACCTGTCGACAACTAGATGGGAAGTAGAAAGGGAACAGGGAGCCACCACCCCCGCCTAAGTCTCTTTCTAGCTTCCCCAGGGTGTTTCAGCTTAGGGAATGAGGAAAGGGAAACAGACACTGAGGCTGTAGCCTAGGAACGAGAAATAAGGGCAAGAAGTGATGTCAGCCCCTTCCTTACTGAATTGGGAAAGACTTTCACAAAGATGTTGTGTTTCCGAAGCTGGTGCCTGACAAGGAGCTTGTCCTCAGCACTCAGAGCCACATTCTGACATACAGCAATCATTCGGTTTTTTCTGAAAACTTCTGTCACCTCCCTCCGGAGCAATCGATTCAAGCCCAACTCCTAAAGGAGAGAATACATTTTAGGGGAGAGAGACATTTTATGAAGAACAGGTACTGGGTATTTGCTGGCCTTTTCCCCTTCACACACACACACACAGACACACACACACACACACACACACACACACACACACACACACACACACACACACACACACACACATACCTAATGGCATGGCTACCTCACGAAGCCCTATTTTGGAGGCATGAACAAAATGATTTCTACAAGCCTTTCTGAAAAGACTACAAGCTCTCAGAATCAACAAAACCCCTTTGGCCAAGGAAACAAAGCTAACTTCATCTCAGGTATTCCTCCAGAGGCCTCGTACCCCTCCTTACCTCCGAGGGTGGCTTGGGGGGGGGGGACAGACAACATGGGGGAATGACAGGTTTTGGGGGGATATACTGAGTCAGTGCCATCAGTTTCTGTCGCTCAAAGTGCATAACTCGAAAATGTCGGGTAACAGCCTTGGAGCCATGGCGAACAGTCTGGATGGTGGGCAGCTGGCCTGACAAGACAGACGATAAAACAGGTATAAGGTCTACCGTGAATAAAAGCCATGGAGTTAAAATAAGCCTTCCTTCCCTCCCTCTCAACAGAGACAATTATACAGTCAAAGCCTACCTCTTATTACCCTTATGTGACCTTGAACCAGTCACCTACTAACTGTCTAGAGCTTTTCCTTCTGACAAGGAAGACAAGGGATAAAGTGTTTTGACCTCTTCTGGAAAAACATCACAGTAATTATTACCATTCCAGACCTGAAGCAACACTAAGAGGAAACATGGTATAGTACAAAGGCAACTAGAACTGAAGTCAGGAATGGACAATTTCAGGGGAACCCAGGAAGACAAATTGAGCAAGAACTATGTAGAGAACAACTTATACAATGATACATTAAAGAGAAAAACAACTTTGAAAGACTTTAGAACGCTAATCTATACAATGAGAAACAATGGGCTCAAAAGAACGAAGATGAAACACGGCCACTCACCTCCCGACAGAAAGGTGATAAACTTAAATCGAAGAAACACACATTTTTAGATATAAGTAATGTGGAGATTTTTCTTGGGGGGGGGACTAGATTATGCAGGTATATATTGAGAGCTTTATTTGTCCATTTGTTTTATTCACTCAATAAGGGAGGAAGAATAGTAGGGCCGATTAATTTTTTAAATGCTTGTTAACTGAACAGCTAAAAATTTTAACAAACAATTTTAGAATGGACCTAAAGACTGAAAACACAGAGTTCAAATCCACTGTGTGACCCTGGGCAATTAATTCACTTAAACTTTCTGAGTCTATTTCATCTGTAAATGGAGATAAGACCTATACCAAGTACCTTAAAGGCTTTTTTGTGAAGCTCAAATAAGATATGAGGAATGTTCATAACCTTAAGGTCCTGAAAGTCATGTAAATAACATCTACTATTTCTTTATTTTCAAAATGTATAGACTGAACTGGATCATAGGACCAAATTTCAAGTTAGAGGAGGCTTAAGAAAAACAACCTAAGAGGAAACTGAAACCCAGAGAGGGAAAGTGACTTGCCCAAGGCCACAGTAAGTGACAGAGCCAAGATTTGAATTCAGGTCCACAAATGTCAAGTCCCATGCTTTTTCTTCCATATGGGCTTCTATGTTCCCTGCAAGCTCTAAAATAATATAGAAAAATAAACATCAACCCCATTCTTCTTTGAATCTATTAACAGCTGCTGGAGATAGAGACCCAAAAGACCCAGAGGAGAGGCACTAAAAATCCCTCCTTTTAAGGACAAGGCAAAACCTCTACTCCCAAACATTCATTCAACAAACAATTATTATGTATCAGAAACTGTGCCAGGCAATGGGAATACAAGACGAAAAATGTAACAAAAAAATAGTCTGGTGGCAGCGAGGTGGTGCAGTGGATAGAGCACTGGCCTTGGAATCAGGAGGACCTGAGTTCAAATCGGGCTTCAGACACATGCTACTTACTACCTGTGTGACCCTGGGCAAGTCACTTAACCCCATTTGCCTTGTTAAAAAGCAAAAAGCAAAAAAAAAAAATAGTCCCAGCCCTCAAAAAGCTTACATTCTGTTGAAAAGAAACAACAGAGACCAGGAGATACAAACTACACACAAAGTCTTATATATGGTAGCATAGGAAGACAGACCCTAAACAATTGGGGGGATCAGAAGTCCTGCTTAAGAGGTGGGGAATGAGCTAAGTCTTGAAAGAAGCCAGAGATTCTATGGGACCGAGGTGATGGGAGGATGCATTATAGGCAAGGGGAACAGCCTGTATAAAGGCGAGGAGGTGGGAGATGGGATGTCGGTGCTATGGTGTGAGTATAGCAAGAAAGCCAGTCTGGCTGAATGTGTAGTAAGTCTGGAAAGGTAGGATGGGGCCAGATTGAAGGGCTTCTCCTTCCATACAGGGATGTTTATATTTGGTCCCAGAGACATGGCAGGTCCCCCGGAGCTTCGGCCCCAGCCTCTACCACACTTGCCCCCCAGGGCTGAGGCCAGTGCATATTAGCAGTCCCACGAATAAGATGCTGCCCTGGGGATGCTGGGACTCACACTGGGAAAAGGCCTGCTGGGGTCAGGGGTCACCAAGGCCGGCTAGGGTCAGGGAGGTAACCGGCTGGGTCCAGAGGTCACAGAAGAGGGAGAGGGGTCAAAGGTCGGTAAGGGCGCCAGGCCTCCGGGGTCCTTGGCCGAAGGGCTCCGGGCGTCTCCCAGGCTGCTCCGTGAAGACGCTCCCCACTCCTTACCAGCTCGGGGCCGGAGCCGGCCGCCCAGGATTCCAACCACGGCCACCGCCATCTTCGCCACAGATCTGTACGGGTCCCGGTTGGAGATGGAAGGAACAGAGGATTATGGGGCTCCGGGCTCAGAACCGGAAGCTGTAGCCCCGCACGGGGGAGGAGCCTGCGGCAACCTTCCGAACTCCTTTGCTCTCCTTTCCTGTCCTTTCTTCAGTCCCGCCCCGCTGCCTAGAGATCACGCTAGCGCAGGCGCAGATCAAAGCGTCCTCGTGTCCTAGCAACGAGGTCCGGGTGCTGAGGACAGACCTTTTCTGATGCCTGCAGGCTCCTGCAGCCCCAACACTCCCAGTAGCGTCTCCCCATGGCGGTCTCCCAGAGTGCTGCTTTCTGAGCTCCCCTTTAGATCCCTTTTAACCCTGCCCATTGCTTCTCAACTCTTCGCACCCTTTCTCCTCCCCATTGCAACAAGGGTGACCCCGCTTCCCTCCCCTGGTATCCCTCCCCCAGCCCCTGCCTCTCTTCTCCCCCCTCTCCTGGCTTCAGTATTTCCAAGGGCTCCAAACTGCTCATCTTCTCTTCTCTCCTCCTCCCCCAGGAGTTCAGTGCCCACCTCCCAAAGGAAGCCATGCGTGGAGGTAACTAGACAGATGAGCTGCAGGTTTTCCCTGCTCAACCCGACCTTTGAGGGTCAATACCTAAATTCACTCCTAGGAAGGGTGTGACCCTGAGCCCTCTTTTCTTTTTAGTTGTTCCTGCTCAGAGCCCTGTGGGTGTCTGCATCTCTGATGCCCTCATTGCCAAGAGGAACTTGGCCTTCAAAAAAGACAAGGATACTTCAAAGGTGAAGTGAGTATCTAATGGGTTAGAAGGTGGACCCAAGGGCTTCTTGTTCTGTCCCAGCCAAAATTCCTAAATTCTATTCTTTACCAGCCCCTTTCTTCACCATTCCCTTCTATATTCCTCTCCACAAAACAAAACAAAAAAAAAACTGCTGAGACTGGGGAAAGTTAACTTCTTTGGGCTATTTGAAAAAGAGTTGGGGAAAAAAAATGGGTTTGGCAGTTTGCCTGCAGAAATCATGTTATCCATATCCTTGCCTCCTGGTGTCTTGGATAGGCCAAGGTCTTTTTCTTTGAAAAAGAAAAAAAAGAAAACTCTTCAGAGACAACCTTCTTCTATTACCCTTTTCATCAGTTTCACAGTCCTTCTTGAGGACTCACTGAAATCTCTCAAATTGCAATTTCAGCTACTCTGGAGACCCTGAATCCAGCCTGTGCCAGGGTCTGACAAACCTTAATACAAACATAAGGACATTCTAATCAAAATGTGCTAAAGGGCTAATCAAAATCCTTCAGCACTGCTTCCCTCCTGGGAAATGCTGTTTCTGGCTCTGAGAAACTGAAGCTGTGAATCTATCACTCCACCATGGTTGCCTTTCTTCCCAGGCCTCAGGCTCTTGCTGTGCTTCAGACTGTTCGCCTAGACCGAGAGGGCATTGGCTATATTGGAAACCTAGAGGGCCTCCGAGCCCTTCACAGTCTCTACCTTCAAGAGGTGAGTTTTCCCAACCACCCTAAGGCACTGTGGTACTTCAGCTAAGAAGGGCCTGAAAAAAAGCCCTGTTTGTACAGCAGCCTGATCAGACTCCCATCTGAAGTTTTGTGTTCAGTTCTTGGGGTTACATCTTGGGAAACTATGGACAAATAGGAGCATACCCAGAGGAGGTTGATCTAGAGAGTGAAAAGGCTGGAAAACTTGCTATACAATAATTATCTAAAGAACTGGGTACGTATTCCATGGAGAAGAACAGATTTAGGGGTACCCATGGTATCCATCTTCAAAGTGACCCTTCTGAGAAGAACAAAGTCGGGTGCCACAGTGGAAAGTGTGTTAGATTAGGAGTTATAGATTCTGGGTTCAAACCCTGCCCCTGCCATTACTACCTGTATGACTCTACCTAAGTCATTATCCTCTCTGGGCCTCAATTCCTCTATCTGTAAAAGGAGATTGTACTTGGATGACCTTTATAGTACTGATCTTAGAAAGATGAAAGTTATAGACAGAATTTAGTTAGAAGGAAAAATTTTCTGATACTTGGCTCCATATCTTGATAGAGGAGCAGCCAAGAAATGGACTGACTCATGGTAGAGTGAATTCCCTATCACTAGGGAGGTCTTCAAGTAGAGACCATTTGTCTGGATTGTTGTGATTCATGTTTCAGGTATAGATTGGACTAAGTAACAGAAAAGTCCCTACCCAGCTCTGAGAGTCTGTGATTCTGTAAATCCATTCTGTCCAGTCTTCTTCCTTGAGGAAGGCCTTCATTTAAATAATCTTGGCTGGATGAAACAAAGACTTCTAAAAAGGAGACCCTGTAATCCCCCACTTGATAGTGCCATAGCCTCCTCATCAGGTTTTTCTCATGTCGCAGTCTAACCCTCTTATGGAAACCAACAGCCTCTTTCCCTACCCCTTCTAAGACAGAGACTGCTTCCCTTTGGCTCCTCCAACTTCTCTCCTACATGTTGAATAATACCAAGTTCCTTTACCTTTTCCTCATTGGTCTCACCAAATCGGATCAAAAAATAATTGAGTGCCTACTAAGCATGAGATAGCAATGCTTTTCCAATTTCCCTCTCTCTCCTTGGTCTGGTCTCTCTGTCCCCTTACATTGTGATGCTGGTACCAGAATAGATGTGCTGGAGATTTGCTGTAGGTACCAGGTCCAACCATCCCTGAATATAATAGCTATAGAAGGTAGGATGGCTACAGGTGATGAATGGGAAGGTCCCAGGACTAAAAGCGAAAAAGGGGAAGATGATTCCAAGCAGGTAATCCTTAGTTCAGAGACTTATTGAAAAGAGAAAAAGGTGCTTTGCTAACCTTATGGTGCTATATAAATGTGAGTTATTATTGTTATCTGCATTTCCCCAGCGTGGGAAGACATCCTCCAGGTACTTGGATTAGAGGAGAGGAGAGAAGTGAATGCTTCCGGCTTTACTTTTTTTACTTCTCCCCACCCTCATGTTTCTTATTACAGAATGAGATCCGTCGAATTGAGAACTTAGACTGTCTCCCTTGCTTACGGTAGGTGACACAGTTCAGCCCCCTGGGTTGTGTGGGTCTTGGAATATCCACAGAGTCCACTTTCAGAACAGGTAGCCTAGCTTCCCCTTCTTTTCCAATATCCACAGCTCTGCATTCCACTGTTTCCTGAACCATGTCTTGTCCCTTTCCTGGACTATTCTGATTATCCTGGATATATCTGGATCTCCTCATGTCCATTTCCCCTCTCCCCCAGCTTCCTAACCCTGGCAGGAAACAAGATCCAACAGATAGAAAACCTTCGTGGTCTCCAGCAGCTGCAGCTCCTGGACTTATCTCACAATCAAATTGCAACATTGCAACTAGGTAGGAGACCCCTTGTCTTGGCCCAGGGGACCGAGCCCCCATCTCTGTTCACTGCTCTCCCAATCCTCCCTTCCCCCTAGGTTTCAAGAGAGCAAGGTAGGGTTGAGGGGCCTGTCATGGGTGATTGCCAAAAAAAAAAAACTTGGCACTTGGCAAAGGTGGGAGTGAGAAGGGACGTGTCTTAATTGATTTCATTTTCTTCCTTCTGCCTGTGTAGCTGAGCTTCCCCAGAACCTCCTAGTTCTTAATCTTTCTGGGAATGATTGTACCAAGCAGGATGGCTACAGGTAAGTAAATGGGAGAGAGCCAGATCTAAGGACTGAAAGAACCAAGCTGTTTATAGGGTAGAGGGAACATATTCCCTGCTCTCCCACCACTTCCCAATGATCCCCAAGCCCCGTTCCTTCTTGCTTAGACTGCCTCACAATGACTGCTTTGTTTCTATAGCCCCCAGCCTGGTCCAGGTCCCATGTGATAACGACTGGATATCTGTAACATGCTATGAGCTCACCACCTCATATCTACCTAGGTGCAGAGCAAGGGACTGTTTCTTCTGCTTCCTTAATACCTTGGATAAGAGCTCTTGCGCTCCCAGGATGCACCTCTCCAACACAATGCTATCTTTTCCTCCCCGTAGGGAAATGGTGACAGAGTCCTTACATTGGCTTCTGGATCTAGATGGTGAGAAGGTGCCTGGATGGGAGGACCCAGAGGAGAACAAAGTGACAGACACCCAGGACGAGTTCCCCGAATTGAGTGGCCCCTTCTGTTCGGAACGAGGTGACTGTTCTTTCTATACAGACCACCAGGCAGATAGGGGTGTGAGATGGAACAGGGAAGCCAAGATAATGTCATGGCCACAGCACACCCACAGGCAAGAGAGAGAAGGGGCGGAGCAAATCTGAGCTGGCTCAAGACTGAAAATCCATGACCGTACACAGGCTTCAGGCATAAACGTATTTAGTGACTTACTCTTCCACCAAACCTTCCTGTTCTCCACCTTGTATCCCCTTAAGTCTCGTGGGGAGAGAAGTTTATATAGGAAGCTTATGTGTTTTTCCAGACTCTCTGCCTCAGCCTCCACAGTAAATCCAGAGCAGTCAGCTAGGATACAGGCACTTGCTGGACCTCATTCTGCCCCAGAGGGCCACATTCAGAGGACATTGTCAGTACTTATATTCCATCAGCAGTTTAGAAACAATGCTTAGCTGCTAGGCTTCATAGGACATAGGTCCAACAAACAAGTTCATGTTTGGATACTTAAGTTTCCACCTCATGGAGGAGAGTATCATGGTTGTCTAAGTCAGTATGTGCTTAGCCTTTCTTTTGTGTGGCGGAAGTAAAAAATAAAAAATAGGATAGACTGCAGAGACTCCTTGGCTATGCCTGTTACTCCAGGGTAAGTCCCCTGGGTGCATCGCAGGCTGTGTACCTGGCTATTGATCTGTGCTACTTGTCCTGGCTATAACAACAGTGGGGTACAGCACTGGATCCAACCTCGTCTTTCCAAATTCAGAGATCTGGGTCTATGCTTCCTTCTCCACAGGCTTCTTCGAGGAACTAGAACAGGAGCTGGCCAGTCATAGGGAGAGGAGACTAAGGGAGGTCCTGCTGGAGCATGAGATCAGGATGGCATTCAAGCCTGTGACCACTGACCTCTCACTGCTGCCAGGGGCCCCTCCACCTAAGAGCCACAGCCCCTCTCCAGTGTCTGGACAAGATGCAGCAGGGGCCAGCCCCACTGAACCACCTTCTGCCACCAGGAAACCCCGCGGCCTGGACAGCCAGCCGCAGAGCAACACAGTGAAGGTGGAGAAAAGGGGAAGACTGACCACAGGCCCCCAAGCCAAGGCTCAACACGCTACCACAACGGCAGCCATCAGAGCCACAAAATAAAAGGCCACAGGCTCTTTACACTCCACCTTTTCTCTCTCAGCAGAGCCATGGGAGGAATAAAAGGGTGGGAAATAAGGATGGCCATGTGTTTAAATTCCCATTCCCTGACAGAAGCTCATTCCTAATAAACTGTCTCTGGCTCCCAATCAATGTTCCTTTCACATTACTGAGTGGGGAAATTAAGATTGGGAACTCCAGTGACCTGCCTGGCCACTCCTCCCAAAGCAGACCAAGCATTAAAATTCAGTGAACAGGGAGAAGAAAAACATGTTTATTGAGTCAGAACTTTTAGGTCAGGGCAAGGTCCAGGGCGAGTGAAGAAAACGAACCTCCCGCAGCCTGATGAACAAGGAAGTCTGGGCCCTAGGGAGACGCTCCACTGGAGGGGCTACAGTTGTTGGCCATAAACTTGGCTCTCCTTTTCCACAAAGGCCTGGAAGAGGCTGACCAGCTGCTGGGGAGAGAGAGCCCTTTCCCCAGCCAATAGCTTCCTCAGAACCTCCTGTCCTTCCTGCTCCAGATTCTGCTGTTTCTTCTGGAGCTGTAGTCCGTGTTCCTACCCAAAAGAGACAAGAGATTAACCCCCAGGATGGAGTTTATGTAGAGGGCAAGGAGGGACCTGTACCCTCTTGCCCTTTGGAGTTGTGCAGGGTGTGTGAGGGTGAAGGGGGAGAGAGAGAGAAAAGAAAGAACACTGGTGTGAGATGCTATATAGCATCAATCATCACAGGAGTGAACCCAGCCAGCTGTGGAGCCTCACCCCCAGTCACCCTTCCAGGAGCCCAGCTTATAAAAGCAATGAAGAAAAGGGCATCCTTCCCATCCAGGAGTCCTTAGTAATCCGTCAGATTAATTCCCTTCCCTCACCTGGTCACTCTCCATCCTTCCCAGGGCTGCTTGGTGCCTACGGTAGAGTAGGTGTCGGCGATCCACCTGGGTCTGAAAGCGTGGGTGAGTCTGAACAGGATCTTTGTCCCCAAAAGTAGGGGACAACACCTGGGGGGTCTGAGCCACCCCAGCCCCAAACACAAAAGGTTTGAACACTGACCTGTAGGATAAGGGAGACATGAGTAAGGCTTCATCCTGGCTCCTTTTCCCAAATTCTATTGGCCTTCCCACCCCTGTCTATTCCTTCTCTCAAATTCTGTGGGTCTGTCTGCTGCCTTCCCCACCTCCCACTTCCCTCTCCCTGGCACCTGGAGGGGTCTGGTGTGGCAGTGAGGAAATGGACACAGGGCTGGTTGGGGTCCTGGGGCAGGACAGACACCATGCTGGCTGTAGTTCGGAAGCCTCCAGAATCCATACAGATGCCACTCTCCTTATTCCGAAGGATGCCCATCATTGTCATAGCTGTGATGCCACCTGCCAAAGCCATGAATAAGAAGGTCAGGCAAACCCCCAGCACCACCGACAGAACCCAGGACAGGTGTCACAGTTGGCAACTCAGCCCCCCACCCAGAACATAAGGCAAAGATTCCTGGATCTCAAGGTGTGACACTATACCTGTGCCTGAACCCTGTCTTCCTCATAACCCTGAGCTAACCCCTGCTTCTTTTGACCCCATCTGAACACCTTGCTGCTGCTTCATCAGGAGTTCTCGGCCAGCCTGGAATCTTGCCTTGGCAGCCTCCATGCGCACAGGTTGATGGACCAGTGAGAAGACGTGGGCAAAGTCAAAGGTAGTTTGCCCATCCCACCAGCCCTGTTTCTGGGCATGGGCCCGCAGCTCCAGATGTTCAGCAGTGATGTCTGTGCCGATGCTCAGTTGGTTGGAGATGTTCCGGGCACCCTCTGGGGGGTTGGGGAAAAGGAGAGAAGGCCAGAGTCTGTGGGGTTAGAGGTCCCTTCCTGGGTGCAGGAGCTCTGGTCATTCCAAACTGAGTTTCACCTCTTCCTGTGGGCTCATTCCTGGCTTCCTCCTCACCTCCTTAACCCCACCCCAGCCATTCTCTCACATTCTTCTGTTTGCTCCATTTGGGGGAACCTAACGTTAGGCAAGGAACAGTCCCTCAGGAGAGCCAGGTGGGATCTCTAACCTCGGATTCTCTGTGCGGCCCATAGTTTCCCAGCTGTTTCCAGCACCCAGGCCTCTTTTCGGTCGGCCAGCAGAAAGGTGTTGTGGTAGCAGAAAGGGGTTGGGTCCTCTCGGCAGTTGCCCCCTTGCCCATATTGCTCCAGCAAGTTGGTGATGACCTTCAAGGCTTCCTGGGCCGAGCTGCCCCGTTCTAATCCTAGCCTAATAAAGAAAGTAGCTCAAGGCGCAGGTATTCAGGGCACCCCACAGCCACAGTGGCAGCTGTCAGGACAGAATGCTGGAGCAATCTTCCCAAGTTAACAGAGCCTAACAGCTGGAATTTGTCTCTCTACCAGAATGGCACACAACATATATGCTGAATACCAGACTAACCTCCAGAGAAAAAAGTCCCTGCTCTCAGAGAGCTGCTAGTCTAAAGGGCCAGGCCTGAGGGAATTCCTAGTCTGCTGGGGTCATCCTTGTAGCTAGGATGGAAACAAAGACCCTTGCAGATTTTCTTGTCAGCTGGATGGGAAAGAAAGATGTGTAGAAAGTCAACATATACTTCTTATGTTTACTCATGTAAAAACCCATGAGGTGGCACTGTTGGTAGGGCTACCCCTTCATATTGTTCATACCTCTACTCATTCCTGAGAGATAACAGCTGACATTTATACGGTGCTTTACAATTTCAAAATGTTTTATGTACATTTTCTTATAACAACCTTTGAGGTAGCTAATTGTATAATTTTACTGTAGTTTAGATATGAGTTCAAATCCTGCCTCAGACACTAGCTGTCTGACTGTGAGCAAATCATTTAACCTCTATTTGCCTCGGTTTCCTCCTATGTAAAATGGGGATCATTTTCCAACATGGTTGTAAGAATCAAATGAGATAATATTTAATAAAAAGCACTTTGCAAACTTTAAGACATTAGATAAATGCTATTATTTTTATACAGATTTAGAAGCTGAGGATCAAAGAGATAAATGACTTACCCATGACTCATCACCCACCTAGCATCAAAGGCTGAATTTGAACCCAGCCTTCTCCTGACTCCAAGAACTCTCCCCACTATATAGGGAGGGGGAGAGCCTTAGTCTCACACTGTCCTGGGTCCCTCACCTGAGCAGGTCCATGCCAAGAAGGGCCTCTTCCTGGCCCACAGGCTCTTGAGTCCATACAGCCTCGTTGCCAATGCAGACACCATGTTCATTGGCCCCCATCTCAGCCCCCCACAGCCAGGCTGGCCGGCTCAGGATCACTGCATGGGTTTTCTCCACTTGATCCACCTCGATGTATGTGCACTGGGGAGTGAGCAGGTTTGGGTATGATTAGGTTTCCTCCCTTTCTCTCCTTAGGATCATAAATTCTTCGATCTAGGGCTAGAAGAGATCTTAGGAGGACAATTAGTCCAACCTCCTCATTTTACAGAGAAGGAAACTGAAGCTGAAGATGTGTAGCAAAATGACTTGCCCAAGGTTCCCCAGGTACTGTCAGAGATGGGAATCCGAACCCATGTCCTGACTTTCTATTATACTACAGGCAGGGTCTCCCTCCTAGCCCCATACTCACCTGAAGCCGGCTCCCCGGAGCATGGGTCCCAGAAGGGACCAACACCACCTCCTGCACTTCATCCCGGGGCCGGTCTGAGTTCTTGGCAAAGATGACCGCAGGGATGGCGGAGGCCGGGGGAAGGGAGACAAAGCAGTCGCAGGAGCAGGGGGCATCGGACGAGTATGGAGATGCCATCGCCTGTGGGGCAGGGAGAGTTAGCCATAAGCCTGACACTGAGGAGCCCCGTGACCTCCCCTGGCCCGTCCTCCACTGCAGATCCAGGTCCTCCCTCCACTCCCAGGTTCCCAAGCAACGGCTCTGTCCACTTGCACAGGCTGCACCTACAGGCAAGGGCAGAACTTTTCTGCCTCCGCCGCGTGCCCACGGTCTCTTACTGGGACGCAAACAGGTTGCACACGGGCGCCCGGCTCTCCTCCGACAGAGTGCACAGAGACTCCTGGCCACGCATGACTGCGTCTCTGCAAACCTTGGAAATCCTCTGCGTGGCTCCCCTCCCCCCCACTTCAAATATATAACCTGGAGATACTACCCACCCCCCAAAAAAACCCACACACATAACACACTGAATAGTTTCCCTTTTGCCCCTCCAGTGCATGCCTAGGGACGCCCCTTCAGCGGTTCTTTCTCCCCATTACCCTCCAAGATCCCCAGACCCAGCCAGAACTCTGTTACCTCTACAACTTGTGGCCCCAGGAAGGCCCGGGCAAGGGGGCGGAGCCACCGCCCCGCCTCTCAATCTGCAGTTTCCGCCTTGTCCACCAGGATGCGCGCCAGCATCACCTCGGCGGGAGGAGCCTTCCACCCCGCCCCGCCCCTCCCCATCCCATCCCCAACCTGACTCGACACCCAGCCCCGCCCTGATACCAAAGAAGGAGGGATGCTACTTTATCGAGCACACTTCCATGCCTTCTCTCAGAGGATGCTGAGGCTGGAAGAAAGAGTTGAATTCAGGGAAGCAGCAGGGAATTCAAGATTCCTGCTATACAGAGTGTTCCAAGAGTCTCAATTCAATTTTTAGCTATTAAAAGCTTATGAAAGGAAAGAACCCAGCATTGTAGGTGCTTGTGTGCCAGGCATTTACAAAATTTGATCTCATTTGATCCTCACAGCAACCCTGGGAGAGAGGTACTACTATTGTCCCCATTTTACAGTTGTGGGAAGTGAGTCAAGCAGAGATTGAGTGATTTGCCCAGGATCACTCAACTAGTAAGTGTCCAAAGCTGGATTTGAACTCAGGTCTTCCTGACTCCAGACCCCACTCTAATCACCAGCCATTTCATTTTTGTTGGAGTGTACACAGTGCCTAGCACAGCACTTGGTACTTGTTTAATAAATGGTCTTTTAAAAAAAGAAGAAAATGTGTAACTATAATGACTAGATTAGTCTCCACAAAGAGATAATAAATTACTCCTCCCTCCCTTCTTTGCATTGGTGGGAGACTATGGGGTGTGGAACAGGCTAAGTGAATATTGATTAATTTTCTTGAATTGCTTTGTTTTTATTCTTTGTTGCACCAGATAGCTGTATGGGTAGAGAGGGGAAGAAAGGCTATA